AACCTCAGCCTTCTCGAAATCCAGGGTAGCCAGTTCTTCTGATAGCTTCTGGAGAGGGCCTACATTATCCCTAGTCTGTGTTTTGTTTGCTCCATACCTATAGAAGCCCTTCGCGTTATCTTTCACATCCCTTGCCAGATTTAATTCTAACTGGGCCTTAGCTTTCCTAACCTGGTCCCTAGCTTCCCGGACGATGTCCCTGTATTCTGCACAGGCTGCCTGTCCTTGCTTCCACCTTTTATAAGCTTCTTTTTTCCTTCTAAGTTTTCTCAGCTGTTTCTTATCCACCCATGGAGGTCTCCTGGCCTTCCTGCCACATTTCCTTCTAGTCCTTACACAACACTCCTGAGTTTGTAGGTCAGGATACAAGCATCCCTTTCCTCAAGCCGGTTGATCGTTGAATATAGACCAGCAGTCTTGGGCCCTCCTGCCCTTCAGGGCTTTATCCTGTGGAACCTTACTAAGCAGGTTCCAGAAGAGGCCAAAGTCTGCTTTCGTGAAGCCCAGGGCAGTGAGCTTGCTGTATACCCTTCTTACTGTCCTGAGGATCTCAAACTCAACCATCTCGTGATTGCTACAGCCAAGGCTGCCCTGGAGTATCCCTTTCCCAACCAGCCGCTCCTTGGTGAGTACAAGATAAAGCATGGCACCTCTCCTTGTAAGCTCCTCTATTACTTGCAAGAGGACGTTGCAGACGCAGAGGATCACCGTGCCGGACAGGCAAGGGCTCTGGTGCCATGCAGACCCCCAGGATCACCGTGAGGGCTGGGCAGGGCTCCGGGAGGTTTCAAGGCATCCTGTTGTAAGGGATTCTGGGTGCCCTATGGATCTCACAAGAGCCAAGCCCTATCCTAGGCTTACTGGGGTCTCCAATTCCCTTCTCCTTCCCCAGGTCTCTGCAGAGAGAGACACTGGGGACAAGGCCCCTCTCATGTGCCAGCAGACACCATGGGCGACTGTTTCATTTTGGGATCTGTTTTTCAGGACCGGAAGTGGTGGTGACATCCTTATCGTGTCCCCCTCCAGCGGCATGAGGAGGTGGTCGTCCCTGGAGGACCCCACCTGAGCCCTGGGGAGCCCTGGGCCATTTCCCTCTCATGATCAATAAACCCGTTCAGCAAAGCTGCGCTCTGTGTGCCTGTGTCTGTGCCCCCTCTCCTCTGCCAGCGGCCGCATGCCTGGATCCTCTCTGGCTGCATCACCACAGTGAGCAGAGTGGCTGAGGGAGTGTGGGCTCCTGTGGTGTCTGTGTAAAGGAGATTCCCTTCCCACACACCGTGTGCCCCAGGTAAGGGCAGATGAGGGCAAACTGGAGCGTCCCTCTGTCCTGGTTTAAATCCAGCTGGTAACTAAGCACCAGGCAGCCGCTCGCCCATCCCCTGGTGGGACGGTGACGGGAATCGGAAGAATAGAAAACCTGTACGTGGAGATAAGAACAGTTTAATAATTGAAAGCAAGTAAAATACAGTGATAATATAAATAATACCAACAATAACAGAAATTGTAATAATTTAGGGGAGAATTCTCTGGGTGAAACCTGATGCATTTCTCACAGAGCACCCTGAAACTGCCTCTTCTCTGGTTTCAGGAAGACTTTTGGCAGGTCCCTTCCCTGAGCTCTGGTACTTTATGCTGAAATTGGGCTAGGATAAAGCCAATAGCCTTCCTTTGGGCACTTCAGAGTGCACACAGCTTGCAGGGTTAACTCCTGTAAGTGACAATTGCTGTTTTGGTTTGAGGTGCTTTGCAGTCTTTCAGAAAATACCCCCACACAACACTTTCTCCAGCAAAAGAGATAACTTTTTTTTTAATTCTAAAGGAGAAATCCAGATGTTCCAAATGGAAGGTACATGTCTTCTAGATATGATGCTGTGTGTAGCTTGTGGCACAGGTTCACAGACTGGACTTTTGAGCGTGAAGAAAACAGAAGCTACATCTTACTGATGCCCCCAAACTGACAAAACATGCTTTGCTGGAATTCCTCTGCTCAGCCAACGGCTCATAGAGAGCATGTATCTTCTCCAGTGGGAGGTCTTGTACCATGCTGTTAAAGGATGCTGCTATACACTTATTTAGGCTACCCAGAGGGATTAATTTATCAGTTTTTTCTTCTTCTTGTTGCTGTAGACCCTGTCTTTTGGTTATTTCTGAGCACTGTAGTAGAACCAGAGAGCTGGAGGATCTCCAGTTAGGTTTGTGTTTTCACCACCAGTCCCTAGGGTGAATAATTCAGCAGGGCTGTTGCTAAAGAGCAGCAGCTTCCATAACAAAAAGTAGAGGAAAACCAAAACCTCGTTCCAAAACATACTGCATGCAGCAGGCCTTGTCCTCAGCAGACTTCTCTTTAAAATCCAGAGAGGAGGTATGTCTTGCAGTTACCCTGGAAGTGGGTAATTTGGGAATTTCTGACATAAATAAAACTACAGTGAGCAGTTCTAGAAATGGCTTGATTTTTTTTACATGCTGGCAAGTCATTCGTATTCCTGCAAAGGTCAATATGCCTTCCCACAGAGCAACAGTGAGCCGTGTTTTAATATAAAGTAGCCTCTTCTTTTTCTAAAAGATGAATGAAGGAGACATTTGAACACTGACACTTTATACAGTCTCTTGTATTCAGTTTTGGAATACCTGCTCTCTCTTTTGGCCTCCGACATTCCCTCTGCATGGCTCCTCTACTACTTCCAATATGAGTCTAATAAAAAACACTCCCAAAGAGCTGGTCTCTTGCCTTCAGCTGCAGTGCGAGGGGGTGTGCATGGCTGAGGATGACTGTCTGTCTTCATTCCATGTCTGTGCCGCAGCCAAAACCCAGCAAGGTGAGGACGAAGGGAGAGGAGCAGCGTGAGCAAGGCAGAGAGCTCTGAGAGCATCATGTCACTTGAGTGGAGCTAAACACTGCCCTGTGAATGCAGCACAGCCCTGGGTGGGGGAGTGTCGTGGTTTAAACCCAGTCAGACAGCTTGTTCACTCACTTGCCCCCCCTTCTTGCTCTCCCCCTACTCCCGGAGGGACAGAGAGGAGAATCGAAAAGAATGCAACTCCCACGGCTTGAGATAAGAACAGTTTAGTAACTAAGGTATAACACAGATCACTGCTGCTACCACCAATAACAACGATAAAGGAAATAACAAGGGAAGAGAATACATCACCTCACCACCAGCCGACCGATAACTCACCCCGCAGGCCCGACCAAGCACTGGCCCATACCTCCTCCCACCCTGCAGTCCCAGCCCTTCCGGCTAACTCCCAGTTACATCCTGGGCATGACGTGCTGTGGTATGGAATACCTCTTTGGTCAGTTTGGGTCAGGTGTCCTGTCTCTGCATCCTCCTGGCTTCCCCTCCTCCCTGGCAGAGCATGAGGCTCACAAAGTCCTTGGCCAAACCAAAACATCGCTATCAGCTCTGTTCCCAGGCCGAAAGTCAAAACACAGCACTGCACCAGCTACCAAGAAGGAGAAAAATGACTGCTACTGCTGAACCCAGGACAGGGAGTAAGGGGGAAAAGCCTGGCAGATGTGCCCCATGGAGGGGAGCCACTGAACATGGGCAACTGAACCTTGCCTGCTTCTTCCATGCTGAGCTGTAACCGATCTCCTCATACATGGCCTCAGGGAAGGGCTCCCAAGCTCTCCCAGAGCTTCTGGACAGTGGCAGAACTGTCCCAGAACAGGCAGAGTGGGGACAGGAACCCACTCTGCTCCACCAGCTTTGGTCCTTTGGGCATTGCCTTAGCAGAGGGAAGTGACAAAGTCCCACAGTGTGCAGCCGAGAACTGGGGAACCCTCTGGCCCAGTCAGCTGCTGCCATTGTGGACACAAAAGCTGTGCTGCCCAGGAGGGTCCCGTCATGCAGGGGCTGGCAGATGGACACATAGTGGTTGTAGGGCGTGATGGTGAGAAGATAAAACTCGTGTGTGTTTGAGGAGAGAAAGAAAAAGACCTGGGCAGCACATCCCAGGAAGAAGGTGGCCCTGGTGTTCCAGAGGGACTTGGCAATGGCTTTAGTGACAGCGGTGGACATGGAGCACAGGTCCAGCAGGGGGAGGTCGAGGAGGAAGAAGTCCATGGGGTGTGAAGGCACTGGTTGCAGGCTGTGGTGGTGATGAGGAGTTCGTTGCCCAGGAGTACAGTCAGGTAGATGCCGAGGAAGAGTCAGACATCCAAGAGCTGCAGCTCCCATGTGCCTGCAAATGGCAGGAGGAGGAAGTGGGTGACGGAGCTGCCACTGGACATTTGCTTGAGCCTGTTATGGGGGGCTTTCCAAAAGGGAAAGGACAGTGACAATTTAGGGGAGAATTCTCTGGGGGAAACCTGATGCATTTCTCACAGAGCACCCTGAAACTGCCTCTTCTCTGGTTTCAGGAAGACTTTTGGCAGGTCCCTTCCATGAGCTCTGGTTGGTGCAGGCTGAGGGTGTCCCTGGAAGGAGGGGGCTCTGCTGGGGCTCTGGCAGAGCCAGTCCTGCCCTCCAGCAGTAAGGAAAGAGGAACACGGCAGGAGCGCATATGGGGCTGTTGTGTCAAATGAAATTCACACGAGATATCAAAGAGCTTTTCAGAAGATCTCACCTGTCCATCAGCTTTGGTCTCAGCTGCCCTGCGCTGGCTCTTTCAGCAGGGAGATGACTTCACCCAGGCTGCTCCAACTCGCAGCCCCTGGGGTGCAGGGACCCTACTTGGAATGACAACCCGCGGTACCCCTGGCTGCACAGCTGGCTGCACACCCCTGAAACCACCCCCGGGAGAAGGCAGGCATCACACACACCCCTTTGATGGTGCACTGGGGAATCCAATGCTTCTCCAGCCCCGCTACTGGGAAATTAAAAGAGGAAGCTCACAAGCCCCTGGCAGCCCCAAGGAGCTGTCCCAAGGATTGTGGGTGACCCACATCCGCTGCCTGCAGGCTGCCCTGTAGCCCTGTGAGCGGCTGCTGCTACCCATCCCCAAATGGACCTTCCTGCACACCTTACTTTAGAGACAGATCCTCTACACCACTCTGATCTGACAAACCATTTATTCCTCCTCCCCCATTTCTCTTTTTTACTTGTGTTCTTTTTCTTGTCTGGTTTCAGCTGAGGTTTTCTTGTTCTTCCATCTTTCCATGAACCTGCACTCGATAAATGCAGGTGTAGGCCGTGTTTCCCCAGTTGCTCTTCACAATAAGTTTGATGTGCGCAAAGGCTCTGTGTGTGTTCTGTGAAGAGAGTGACAAGAAAACTGAGGTGTTAAGTGTGACGGTGCAATTGACGTTTCTCCCCCTGCCTGCCCTGCTCCTGCTCAGGAACAAGCTTCCAAAAGTGGGTAGGAGTGGCTGTAGGCATCTGAGGCTCACTGCTGGTACCAGGGCTCCTGCAGAGACTGGAGGCACGGGAAGGGAGAAGACACCCTCTGGAACCTGGCCTGCTGGGGACTGCGCCTCCCTTCCCTTTGCCCCCTTCCCTCTGCAGCTTGCTGTGTGCTGACAGAGAGGCTGGGGAGGTCCTCCTATGCGTGAGACAGTTGGTGTGAAAGTCCATTAAGCTCCCGCCATGCTCTCTGCCTGCCTTCCTCCTGGCAGGTGTGAGGGCACCAGGAGAAAAGGGACGTGTTGTGCTGGGAGGAAAGGACACTGTCCAGCCTGTCAGCAGGCCAAAGGGTGGAGCGACAATGCTGTCCGGCAGCTTTCCCCACCAGGTATCCCTATTTCTCCTGGCACAAAGATGTTGCTTTGGTGGAGAGGCCATGTGTGCAGCTGGCTCTGCTGAAGGCAGCAGCTGCAGCCAGGGGTCTCTCAGGACTTAAGCTCCCACAGGAACAACCCTGCCCTTGCAAACCTGTTGCTGCTACCCCCACGGCATGCTACTCAGTCCTCCCAGCTCCACCAGGCCTCCTCGGCAGTGGTCTGGGCCCCTGCGCCAGGGGAGAGAGCATTCACGCTCTTCCTGCCACGGACTTGCAGGCACTGCTGGTTTTCTCTGGGCATCTTGCCTTCATGCACAGACTGTACCTTCAGAGGGAAGGTTTGAATAGCCTCTTTTGCCACGTTGTACACGAACATCCCAAGGAGAGTTTCCTCTTCTCTGTCTGCATTCAATCCCTCAAGGGAAAAGCACAAGGAGGAAGGAGAGAAGCTCAGACTTGTCCCGGCAAAGAGGATGTTTGTATGTGCTGGATCAGCATATACTGCATGGGCTGTTACCTACTGAGCCTCTCCTGGGGCTCTAGCAGTAGTTAAGCACTGTCTCCACCTTGTGTTTTATTCAAGAGCCCTGAGGTGCTCTCACCAGAATGAGTCTTGAGAGGGATGGAACCCCTAGAGCCCCTGAAGTATCCTGCAAGTGCACTGCAGGGCTTAGGAGAAAGCAGGACACAAATCTCCAAGGACTTGCTTGCACAAAGCTTGCACAAAGCAAGCAAGTTCCAGTCACGGCTTTGCCCCAGGGCCACGTGCCAGCCAGAAGCACCCAGCAGAGACTTACAAAGACAGCGATGTCTCGGGGGGCACTGGTGACGGTCCCAGATGGAGAGACCTCTTTGTAGGTGTGCTGCACACTGACAGCAGTCAGATGGACTCGTGCTGGCAACCTGATGACCACCTGGCCCTGGTGCCCTTGTAATGGCCAGCAGTTTCCTGGGGAAATATCCGGCTGCAATCAGAATGTGAGAGTTAATGAAACGTGAGCCCATGTTCAGTTCAACACAGCTGCTCATGTAGCCTGAAGCACAGGTGCTGGTGTGTCTGGGGGGTCTAGTCCATCTTGAAAATGAGGCTTGAAAATGAGACACAAGCAGCAGCCTCTCAGTATTATGAAAAGAGGAGAATACCTGTTACTAAGCCAACCTAGTCAGGCCCTTACAGACACAGCTCTCTGCCCAGTGGCTCTGCAGAGGACCCCCTGCCTCCCACCCCAGAAAGGAACTGCTAGGGCTGAGTATGGAAATGAGGTCACCAGGGAGAAAGTCGTTCACCCGGCTGTGACTGAGGACTGTGGGCAAGATGCTGCAGTTGAGCTCTGTTCCCCTCCTGAGGGGAGCCACTGCTTTCTATCGAGGCCAGCCCTGAGTCCAAGCTTTGGCTTCAGGCAACAGATCAGCACTGTGGGCTTGAGCATTACCACTGGACTGAGAGGACAATGCCCAAGGTCAGTCCCCAGCTTCTCAGGAAGGAAACATGCACTGGTGGTTTCTGCTACAATACCTCCAAAATCGTATCAGGAGGGTTGGGAGTGTGGAAGAACCATAAAACCCTGCAGCCCCAATTCTCTTTGCAGTCATAGGTCTTTGAAGTTCTCTGCATGTCAATGGTGGCACCTGTAAGGAAGGGAGAGCAGGTGACTGCACGAGGCCACCGAGTAGGAGGACCCTGTGCTCAGACGCCCTTTCTGATGCTGCTGGACAGCTCCACGTCTGTCAGTCCTCTCCTCATCTCCATGCTGGTAGGGGTGCCTAGCTGCGCAGGATGACAGCACCCATATGCCTGGTGTCTGCTCCTCTCAGCGCCACAAGTAGAAGGCCTGAGGGTGCTGGTGAATGAGGGCAGACCAAAGCTGAGGGCTTGCTGTGTGGGCAATAAAGGATAGGATGACCCATCCGTTCTCTTTCCAAATGCATTGATGAGGAAGAGAGCCCCTCCGTCAGCCCTGGAATGTGGGGGGGGCAGTGCCAGAGGCACCTGCGCAGAAGCGGGACCAGGAGGGAATCCAAGAGAGCCACTGCCACAGACATGCTCTCGGACCTCATGAAGCTCCCCTGCTTTCAGCTCCCCTGCTTAGGAGAGCAGCACCTGGAGGACATCCTCCTTTGGGGAGTGCTACAGACAAGTGCATGGCAAGGAGAATGGGCTGCTGTGTCCATACCAGAACTTTCCAGGGCCCAGTCAGATCTTCTGATGTAGACTTCCGAAGCCAACTCCAGGGCTGCCTGGTTCACCTCCTGCCTCTCCTGGGAAACACACAAACAAGCACAGAAAATGAGCACGTCAGCAGTCAGTTCAGCATGGCTACCAGCACCCAGAAAGGCAGAGGGTCAGTGTCAGAAACACAAGGCAAGCCTTGTCCAGTAAGCTGAGAGACTGCAGCTGACGTGAGCCACAAGCACAGTATATGTGGCCACGACCATGGGGTCCTCACTCCCTTGTTCCCACCTTCCATGCTCAGGCCATGTCCACAAAGGCTGGCCATGGGAGTGGGCCTGGGTCTCCCTGCTGCTCAGGGCCCAGCCAGAGCAGCCAAAGGTGCCCGTGCCAAGGGAAGAATGCTGGAAGATTCCTACTGCCTGAAGCACCAGTTAACCTGGGCCCAGAATAGGGCCTGGGCAGTGCCAAAGCTCACCCAGCAATCCCCTGGCACAAGCTGGCTTGCTGCGCTCAGCAGGCTGAGCCCACTACTAATCCCAGGTAGTGCTTCCTCAGGGCTTCTGCCCAGCCAAGCCTTCTTCTCCAAAATGCAGGGTTACCTTCTTCAAACGGCTTATCTCCACCTTCAGCTGAGCCACCTCCTCCAGCAGAAGCTGCAACTTTTGGGTCTGCTCTGTCAACAAGGTGTGCAAATTCCTGCAGGAACAGGAAAGCAGATGTTGTCAGAGAGCAGCCCATTCCCTCTGCAAGGAGCAGAGACACAGGGCTTTCTGGTTTGTGAATGCTTCCCTTGCTCCCCACGCTGAAAGAAAGGCAATGGCCAGAGGGAAGTACAGGAGCCGTGGCTGTTAGAAAAATGGGTGCAGGTAGCACGAGGTTGTCCTGGGTTCAGCCGTAGCAGGAATTTTTCTCCTTCTCAGTAGCTGGTGCAGCACTGTGGTTTTGATTTTCAGCCTGGGAACAGCGCTGATAACACCGCTGGTTTTAGTTGGTGCTCAGTAATGTTTACTCTGACCAAGGACATTCTGAGTCTCATGCTTTGCCAGGGAGGAGGGGAAGCCGGGAGGAAGCAGAGAGAGGACGCTGCACCCAAACTAGCCAAAGAGGTATTCCATACCACAGCACGTCATGCCCAGTATATAAACGGGGCAGTTACCCGGAAGGGCTAGATCACGGCTCTGGTCGGGCGGGGAACCATTAGCCGGTGGGGAGCGGTTGTATTCTCTTCCCTTGTTATTCCCTTTATCATTATTATTACTGGTGGTAGCAGCAGTGGTTTGTGCTACACCTTAGTTACTGGAGCGTTCTTGTCTCAACCCGCGGGAGTTACATTCTCTTGATTCTCCTCCCCATCCCTCGGGGAGCAGGGGGACAGAGAAGAGGGGGAGTGAGCGAGCGGCTGTGTGGTTCTGAGTTACGGGCTGGGCTTAAACCATGACAGGTTGGCTGATGCTGTTTGCATAGGTCCAATTCCAGCTCAGGAAACATCTCTTACCTCAGCATCTTTGTTTCTGCTGCGGCTGCCCGTGTCAGAGCCTGAAAGGGAAAAACTCTCTGTTAGAGTATCCACCACCAGAGCTGCTGGGGCTTCCCAGGAGAGGCTTCCCTAGGAAGCCCCGGCAAAAGCCACTGCTTCTTTGGCTCACTCTGTGTGGACACAGAAAAGCCCACGATTTAGCCAGCCACTGTCAGCAATGCTCCCTTGCAGGAGCTGCCTGTCCCAGAGGGTCCACCAACCTCTCTCTGTGCCTTTGCCTGCATTGTCCACGCTGGCAGTGAGGTCCCACAGTAAACACCAGCTGCAATTCACATCACCAAGAGACAGTCACTTGACCTGGGTTGCTAGTGGTCCCTGAAGCACCGTGGTCTCCTCCTGGTTGCCTTGTGGATGGGGCAGCAGCTAAGCTGAGGAGGTGGGGAACACAGGGTGCAGAGACAGGACGTGCCTCTGACTGGAAACCATCACCACAGGCTTCAGGGCATTGTGTAGCCATGAGCTTCAGGTGTGCTCGGTGACCCAGAGCTCTTTCCCATTTCCCCTTACTGCTCCTGTGAGCCCTGAGAGCAGGCTACATCAGCCAGGAGAGGTATCAGGAGGGGCATCAGTCACCCTGCACAGCCCCTCTGGGTATCCCCCAGTTCAGGCTTGGAAATACATGCTCCCTTCTCTCGCAGGCTTGCAGACTAAGCAAGCCCTTTGGTCCTGTGGCCAGTGCAGCAGCATGGCTGGGAGGCTACCAGTCTTACTGCTAGCTGAAAAGCAAGTCCTTGTCAAGGATGCACACCAGAAGCACTTGGACCATGCGAGTTTCCACACATATGGGCCAAAAAGAAAAGCTGGCACCCAGCACAACCAGGCTGTTACTCTCAAATGGTTGCTCACACAGACTCACCAAGAACCACTGGAAGCAAGAAGACAATGAATCTCAAGAACCTCTTCTTGTGCACGGCCATCTTTTGCCTGAAAAAGGAGGGTGTCCTATGTCTGTCAATGAGCCAGGTTTCGAGCAAACCAGCTGGATTACCACTTCCAGGCACGAAAGCCACTGTTTTGGAAGCCTGCTGCTGACAGACAGCTGCCAGGGAAGAGCCCAGGAGGGGCACTTTCTGTCCACACCTTTCAAAACTGCCAGCAGCTCTTCCCCCAAAGAAGAACTCCAGGACTCACTACTCCCCGAAAGTAAAGAGGTTGAGCAAATCAGGACTTCCGCCTCCGCACCCCTGCGTCTGGCTACACAGCAGGTTGTCCTACCATGACCAAAGTCTGGGCCTCTGGTGAATGTGTGGCAGGGAGACTGCCCAGTGGCTTTACTCTTGGCTCTCCCTGAGAACGGCCACAACATGAGCAGTGCTTGTGAGAGTGGGGAGCTGGCTGAGGAACACCCCTTGCTCTCCCCTTTGCTTGCACTGGCCCTCAGACATCTCCTTTCTCCCCGTGTCCAACACAGAAACACGGAGTACATACATACTCCTTTCCCCATCTCTGCTTGACAGCAAAGATGCAGCCTGCAGCGGAGGAACAGGAAGAAGCTGGCGGCGGCAGCAGCAGTCCCCATTGCTCGAAGCACAGCCGGCAGCACAGCCCAATTCTCACCCGCTCCCTCCCTGCACCCTGACCCCTGCAGCATGAGGCTACCGCCTCCCCAAAAGCCCAACAGCAGAAACAGGTAGTACGTACACAGTGAAGATGCACACGATCAGCAGGTATGTCCACAGGGATGCAAGGGTACCTGCCGCATGGCAAACAAGGCTGAAGACCGTCCCTGGGCAAAGAAACCAGGGAAAAGTTAGGCCTCTGTCTTGAGGTCTCTTCTCCAGGATGCTCAGCCAAGAGCGTTTTGGCTCCCTGCAGGGAGGCAAGCACCGAGGCCTAGGCACCACCTCTCTGGGGTGAAGAGCAGAGCAGCCTGCATTTCTCCAGCCACTTGTGAAATTTTGCCAGACTTCTGGCACAGTGCAGCGCTCGGAGTTCACCCCAAGGACTTTGCAGCAAGAGCCAGTGCTGAGCTTACTTGCAAGTGCAGTGGCCTTGTCATGACGCTTGGGTGGCCCTGGAGAGGATGAGCTGGGAGTGGACTGAGGAAGGCGTTTCACCAGCTCCACCTCTGTGAAAAGGCTCCTGTGGGAGGAAAACAAAAAAGATGCCGATTGCTCGCAGTGCTTGCTGGGAGAGCAAGCCATGCTTTCAGCCACGGCCCACCAGAAGGGGGGTGGGCAATGCACAGGGCTCTTGCGCAGAAGCGTCTGTCAGCTTCCCCATGCTGATCCGTGACCTGCTGGCTGTATTAGGCCGTGTCCCAGCTACCGTCCTAAGCTGATGCCCCATGCACGAGCAGCCAACTTCGTACCTACTCGCCTGGCTGTGGCTCCGCCCTGCAGCCTCTCGTGCTGACCGTTGGTCAGCTGTGGTCTCCAAGGAGACATTTAAGGTCCCTTGGATAATTTTATGCGGTGCCTTTCTGCTTGCCATCTCTGGGCAAAGGCAGCCTCCCTGCTCAGCTCTTCCTCCTAAGCCTCAGCAGTCTGGGCTCCTCAGGAAAACCAGTTCCAGCAGCAGCTCCACGCTGCCCTTCCACGGGAGTTTCCCTGCCCGGGGCAACAGTCACGTGCAGCTGTGGGCTCTTTCCCTGCCCCACAACGCTGTATGGGTGCCCAGTTCTGAGTCAAGATTGGCGGCTCTGATGTCACAGTGGGGCTCAGCAGGGCTCCCTCTGGGCTCCCCTGGGGCAACGTGGGGACTGGACCAGACTGGGGCCTGCAGTGTATGGGAAATGGGGTGGGCTGGAGCTGGGCATCGTGACCACCCCAGCACTTCCTGGCCCTAGGCAAATAAAGCTTATCAGTTACACACAGACCAGAGGGATGACAAGAACAAACATCTCTCCTGTTGCCATGGGAACTCTGTTGTCCCTGCAATTAGCTCCAACTGGCTGCCTGAGGACAAGCATCTGCTTCACGGTGTCCCTCCGGGTGGCCACATCCTGCTGAGGGACAGAGCTGGCCTGGCCAAGGATGAGGGCATTGAAGGGACATCCCTTGGGGACAAGGGCCTTGGGTGACCAGTGTCCGAGTGCC